GTTTGACGGGCTATGATGGAAGAGTCTTCCTCTGAAATATCATCTTTAAAACCTGCAAAGGTCTGTCAACTGACTTGTCATAACTTCACCATATATTTTACTTCTTCCATCTTTTCCAACAACTTGTAAGGCTTATTATTTCAGCTTAAATTGACATGGGTTTCTCCCTGGCTGAATTGGCCACCACCCCTGAGGACCCACTAATGTCCCACTGGTGTGAGGAGAAGGAAGTTTTTTTACGTCACAGAGAGGCAGAAGGTGCTAGTGACAGGACTCTCAAGCTGCTTTGCTTCAATGAAGTTTGCGTAGCTGTTCGGAAAGGTGAGCCAGTTGCCTTTATGGAGTAGAAGCAGCAACTTATCATTTCTGCCTTTCTACCTGACTACCGGGTGTTCGCGGCTGTGGGGATGGGAGTCACCCTCCCATCAAAGAAGAAACAGTGGCAGACATAAAGAAATACAGAAAGAAAAGGACCGTCTTTTGCCCCAAGAAATACAACACAGTGTCACACAAACTGATCACGTCTTTACGCACCAACGCAGTGTTGCTCTGAAGGCCTGGCCACAAGGATATCCCACATTACTGCAGGAAGGGGGCACAACTCTCCGAGAGGGGCCGTGAGCCGGTGCGTCCCGGCAGCCCGCGCGACGGTCCTGGTGGGACTTGTGTCATACGGGGCTGGGCCGTTCCCAGGGGTTTCCCCAGCAGGTAAAGGAAGAACAATCTGCCTGTTTTAAGCATATTTGGAGTTACCTTGCTGTCTTCCCCCACAATAAACTGCTCTTTGCTACGGTAATCGTTCATCTGCACAGTAAATAAAGCTGTCAACTAGAGCTGAGTTTCTGTTTCTCAGCAGTCAAGAAATACAATAAAACTCAGAGTGGCGTATTTAGACAGTGCTTTTGAGAGAGAAAGCCAACCTTCAGGAACTTTTAGCATAATTGTTTCCTGACAATGAATCACAACAACAGCCGTGATAATTCAGCTGGGGACATGCAATATAAAGTCTACAAGCCTGATATTCAGATTGCCCTTAGAAATAAAAATTAAGCTTTTTCATTTCTCAGACCTCATCATAACTATCGATTAAATACCTACCGTCTCTTTACTTAACATCTAAAGAACATCAGAGCAAAAAAACAGCTTCAAGAAAAGAAACGCTCCTTTAGCTTGCCTGTTTAATTCTGCTTCTGCTGCGGAGAAAGTTGTACTGTTGTCCAACGACGACTTATCTATGCAAGAAGGAATTCAACTGGAAATACGAAAATATTTTCAGCATGCTGTTTATTTTTATCTAGAGGAAGATAAATTATTATATGAGAGCAGTAAAAACATAGTCACTAGAAAAAAATAGGGCTTTTCCCACCATACCTGCAATACATCAACCAGTACATGAAAATACTTATCTTTCCAAAACAATTAGCCTACTTTTTAGTGAGCTCACACAGACTTCTGCAGTACTACTCCACTGTGGATTATTACTTGTCTCCGATATGACGCTTGAATTCCTCCAGGACATTAACAAATAACATTGTTTGAGAGAGCCAAAATAGGTAGAAATATTGTATTAAAGGATACTTGGAGCCCATGATTCTCACAAAGACCAGCTAACCCTACATCTATCAAAATACAACGATTCAGGCCATCCAAACAAGTATGTTCTTTTCCTGGTATTCTTTTCCTGATATTCTGACAGCGTTCTGCTGAAACTCAAAAGAAAACCTGACATCGTCTGAAATGCGAGTACAGCTCTGCCACTCTGCAGAGCCGCTCTCCCCTAGCGCATCCCCCTCCTGCAACCCAGCACGTCAGCAGAGCCTTCGCAAGGCAGACACAGACCACCTTCCCTGCAGTGCGCACGAGGTGGTTTTTGTGTGGTTTTGGTTTTTACGGAGGGAGTGAAATCCCAATTTCCCTTACTATAAACGCTAGAAACACTAGAAAACGCTAGAAAACCACTGCTCTCAAGCTCATCTCCCAGGACCAGTTAGCACCTAAAATTCCCTTCAAAGGTTGGGAAAACGCCTTGTCTTTCTTGTCTGTATTCATGCACCCTTCCAACTGGATGATGAGTCTTCCCGTTAGCTGCAGTTGCCTTTTGAGGCAGGTCCAGCCGCTCTTCTGCCTCACGCGCCCCTCTCCCGGGCCCCTGCTACATACGAGGACGGCCCAGCTCCTTCTGGCAAGGGTAAGGCCCAAGGCCTGAAATAATCCCGACTGACCCACCCGGCTCCAAGTTCAGGGAGCTTTTCCTTCCCCTCCGTCTCCCTGGGGAGGGAACAGCTCGTCCTGCTGGTTGTGAGAGACAGCCAGAGATAGGAGCGTTTAGGAGGAATTCATATTTGTCTATCCAGACCCGAACATTCAAAAATCATGACTCAGGATCCCCTCCCAAATCATGGGATTAAATTAACGTATGATAGGATTTTCAAAGATGTTGTCTTCAAAATTATGGAATGCTATATACTTCATCTTATTCATTACTTTCTAATTGCTGAACACGCAAATATTTTCAAGCTTTTTTTCCTCAACAGTTACAAGAGCCAGAAGCTCACATAAGGGAAAAAAAAAAGTTATCACGTATTCATATGACTCCTGGAGGTTGGACCTTTAAAAATAAACCAAGTATTACAATTCATCACATGCAAATTTATGGGACTTGGCAACCATGCAAACGTCTCAAGGGATGATGGAAGAGGAGAGTGCTCTTGGTTAACCGTTCTCTTTTCGTTTTAATAGCTACAGCATGCTGAAAGTGCCCTGCTAAATATTTCCTAAGTAAGCCCATTGATTAATTTAAGAGTGTTATGGAAACATGCAGTACAGTGTGTTTATCAACTCCCAGTCGCTAAATATTTTGACATTTGTTAACCAAAACTAGATGCATTCTGGAAAAAGACAAACTGGAAAATAAAATTACAATTTTTGAAAACATGCCCTTTCCAAGCCTGTTGCGTAGAGCAAATCAGGAGCGGGAAGCCAGGTTTAACAAAAAATACAAGAGAACTGATCTGTTTTGGGGTGCCTGGTCTTTTGTCTTTGTTTAAGGTAAACAGAAGTCAGTGGAAAAAAACTGCACATTACACCGCTTTTTCCCCAAAGCAAAGAGTTATTTGTAGTCCATGTCACAAATCAAAAGAGGACGGATGGCGAGGACGATAACCACTCTCAGCATTTCTCCCCGATTTTAAAATTTGAAAGATGAAAAATTACAACTATTGCTACCTAAAACAGACGCCTGCCGTTCAAAACGAGGTCGGCGCCACGTCTCAGCGTGGCCCGCACGAAGACAGCTGCCCGTTTGCAAGCCCTGCTAATACGAACGCTTTTGAATTCCACGGCGCTGCCTGAGGGCTATTACTGTTTGGTGCCTTTGAACCAGAGCCTAAACAGCGCCGCGGTTCCCCGAGCGCATGGCACAGCGAGGCCTGGACGCG